TCTGCTCAGCTTCTGGTAAGGGCTCAAGAAGCTCTCGATCATGGTGGAAGGCAAGCGGGGAGCCAGTGTATCACATGGCAAGAAAGGGTGCGAGAGAGAAGGGGGAGGTCTTATACTCTTTTAAACAACCAGATCTCACATATTCTGATTGATAACTCACTCATCACCAAGAGGAGGGCACCAAGCCATTCAGGAGGCATCTGTCTCCACGATCTAATATCTCCCACTAGGCCCCACCTCCAACACTGGCGATCACATTCCAACATGAGATTCAGAGGGGACAAATATCCAAACTACATCATAGAAGATGACATGAGCAATCCTATAGATGTCAAATATGGAAGTATGTATGAGTGCTGAGATGCTGTGGCCAAAATTAGTCAAGGAAATAAACATAAACTTCAATCCAGGAAGCAGCTGGAATTGTGGTGGCTGAATTGGCAGACAGTAAATCAAGGCATAAATTTGTGCTAAGGAACTGAAAATTTGTCTATGGGAGGCATTAGCTTTTTTTCTTTTAATCATTTAGGAACTCTGGGAAGAATGGTTTAAGAGCTCACAGGACTGTGAGCAGTGGGATGACCATGAAGATTGTCTCAGTCCAAATGAAGTTCTTGTTTGGGGCAGTGATAGCAAGGTGAAGAGGATTTGACAGATTTTGAAGGTACTTCAGAGGATAGCTCAACAGCATTTAGAGTTGGAATTTATAAGAACGGGGAAAAGGGGCTACAGTTTAGAATTATTATCTTGCTTTGTTTAATTTCTGTGTCTTTTTTTACCCTGATTTTATCACTACACATTGTATACATGTATCAAAATATCACATGCATACTATAAATATGTACAATTACTATGCATCAATAAAAAAATTTTATGTATTTTTATTGAGGTATGATTATACTTAGTAAAATACTGAGATTTCAAGAATAATATTAATAAGTTTTGAAAAATATACATATCTGCATAACCTACATGCTAATCAAGAAATAGTACATCTCCAGCTCCTCAGAAAGTCCCCTTCTACCCCTTTTCTGCCAATCTCTCACCTCCTATATGGAGTCACAGTTTTGATTTCTATCTCCTTGAGTTAGTTTGGTTTATTCTTTAATGTTTTCATGTGTGTCTAGCTGCTTTGTCTCAGCATGCTTTTGAGATTAATTCCTGTTGCTGAGTGTTCAAGTAGTTCATTTCTTTTTGTTGCTGAGTAGAATTCTACTGTATAAGTATACTACAATTTGTTATCAATTTTTCTGTTGATGGATATTTATGTTATTTACATATTTTTGTTGCTATTTGCTCTGAGACTTTCTCTTTTATTCATGGATATTTAGAAGTGTGTTTTTTAGTCTCCAAGTCTTCAGAGATTTTCCTTTTAAGTTTACCATATTTATTTCTAGTGTGATTCCATTGTATTCAAAAAAGACAATGATATCATTCCTTTTAAATTTGTTGAGCTTTGGTTTATGGGCCAATATTGTCTATCTCAGTATCTATTCCATGAGTACTTGAAAAAGTATGTTTTCTGTTGATGTTTAGTGGAGTATTCTATAACTGTTGATTGGACCTTTTGGTCAATAATTTTGAGTTTTTCTATGGTCTTGTTAATTTTCTGTTCAGTTTTTCTATCAGTTGGTAAGAGGGGGAAATGACATCTCCAACTATGATTATGGATTTCTCTATCTTTTTAGTTCTATTACTTTTAATGGTTTTTATAATTTTTTAATTGTAGTAAATATCTATCAATTTTTGCTTAATATATTTTGTACCTTTGTTGTTTGGCACAAATACATTTAAGATTGCCTTGTCTTGATAAATTTACTTTTTTCATTATATAAAATCCCTTCCTGACCATAGTAAATTTATTTGCTCTGAAGTTTCTTTATTTGATATCAATATAGCGACTCTTGCTTTTTTGATTAATATTTTATATATATACAAGAAACTACATATTAGATATGCATATATAATACATATTTCAATTCTATATTTAACTTATCTATGTCATTATATTTGAAGTGAATTTCTTATACACAGCATATAGTTCATTATGTTTTTAATTTTTATCAATTTATGTCTTTATACACTTAATGTAATTGCTGATATCTTAGGATTTAATTGTACCATTTTATTTTTGTTCTGTTTTGTTTGTTCCACCTCCCTATGGGTAAGTCATTTGACCTGCTTTTTAATAAATCTCTTGGTATAGGCCTTTTCTGATATCATCCAATAGAGAGAGGTGCCTTGTTACTCCTGGGTGGCAACAGAAGTCTAGGCTCCACATGTGGTCTCTACTGCCCAACTGGGCTCAGGAATATAGAGGTGGTAGTTCACTACTGGCCAACAGAGATGAATTCTCAGCTCCCTACTTGGTCTTCTCTGAAATAACCACAACAGTGGTTTTGGAGTGTCTCAGTACAACCCTGTGATGGTGGAAGTCTAGGGTCTCATATGGTTTTGCTTTCATGAAGGAGGGGAACAAATTATGTTTTAATATTAGACTAAAAGTTGTATACAAAGCTACGCTGCCCCTTTCTGGTCCTTTAATTAAAGAGAGCAGGTTTGACAGAGCTTTTGTGGTTTCTGCCTGTTGACATTTCTGAGTTGTCAACTTATTCAACTCTATGTCTGAGATCTCTAAGACAAAAAGAAAACCCAAGGGAATTAACAACTGTGTCCCTAGCCAGCCTCTCTTCCCTCTACATTTCAGAACCTTCTTGTGTTTGTTTTCTTCTCTATATTTCATGCAGGGATTTTACTTGTACTTAGTTTTCTTGAAGCAGAACTATTTCATTCTTTTTTTATATTTTTCATCTCTTCTGAGACGTCCACAGACGTTTACTAATTCTTTACTAATTCTTTACACCTTTTCCTACATATTTATAAACCTTTTTGTAATAGTTGTTTTAAAGTCCTTGTCTGCTAGTCCCAATAACTAGATCATCCGGAGATTGAACTTGTTAATTTTATTCTTGATTGTGTATCACATTACTTGCTTCTTCGTAGTTTCTATGCTTTAAAAAATTGCATTGAATATTTTATACAGGAGAACAATGATGATGCAGGTATAGTAATTTGTGTTTTGTTCCCCAGAGAGAGTGTGCTCATTTTTATATCTTGCACCTAAGCTGATGAGCCAAGAGTCTAGCTCATGTGGGACTGAGCCATAACACTAGGAAGAGTGAACTTACTTTCATTTAACCCAACTCTTAACACCCCACACTGCTACTGCTGCTTGACCTTAGCACTGTTTTAGGCTGCAGTCAGGGGTTTTATTGAGCCAAAGTATTACCTTCAGATGAAACAGTTCCAAACATTGAGAAATTGCATGAGGATTTCCACACTATTTCTCCTGTTCAGTCCCAACTTTACTGCCTTTTTCTCAGCAACATTGAGATAAGTTAGAGTTATAATACCAAGCAAAATATTGTCACATTTTATGATAATGTAGACTTTAATATTTGCCACCTGCTGCTGCCATCAACAATAGCTTGGATGACCTCTTTTAGACCTGGAAGAGTGACTCTGTTTTTGGCATGCTTTCTCATCCATCTGTCAAAGACATGAAATTTGTTCCCAGTTGTGCTGTGAAGGGAGTATATGTCTGAAAATCTGTTCAGAAGACTTTTTTCAACAGAGTGAAGGTCCTCTGGGGATTTTACATATTAATAATTAATGGTTTATTTTACTTTTTTATTTTATTCATTCTTTATATACATATATAATAAACTCTATAATAAACATATATATATGTCAGTATGTCTATGGGACAAGTTTTACAAGATTCTCTTGTAAAAATTGAAAATGCTTTGTATTTGTTGGGATAATAGTTATTTAAGAAAATTAGATTTAAAAAATATGTGCATTATGTGTGTGTTATATGTATATTAATATACATTATTAATATACATTATAATATAATATAATATATAATATATATTATAATATATAATATAACATATAATATAATATATTATATATTAATATACATATTAATTTGCTTGTTAGGAGCCAGTTTTGAGCCAAAATGTTGAATTTGAAGTTCCTGAGTCTTCCAGGTAGAAGAAAACACCTCACACAAGTGCCATCCCAATGTGAAGCCAAGTACAGGTATGAGAAGTGGTGAAAGAGTTCCTTTGGAGAGCTGGAAACAAGGCTGTGAGTTAGTGGATATTTTTAAATGTCTTTTTTTCTTAATGGGAGGTGCTCCATAATATTGCCAAAATTACTACACCACAAATAAAACTTATATTTTTTTCAAAAAAAAATCTACTACATCTATTTCAAAACACTTACAAACTTTATCTTCTTGAAGAATCTCTCCTTTCCACTTTTCACCAGTTGTTTCCTCTTGTCTAGTGCTAATACCTCTCTAAGTTCCCTAGATGTCTTACTGACTTTCTCCTTTAGTGACCAGGTTGCAACAGTTTCCTCTTCTACTCTCTCTCTCTTTAGCATTTTAAAAATCTCATCCCTTTCTGGTTATTTTCCATAATCCTTATTTCTCATTCTCAAATCAAAAAATGTTTTCAATTTTTTCATCTAGAAAAGAAACAAGTGAGTTTCCCCTTCAGGTCATGACTAAGTTTCTGTCAGACCAACTCTTAAGTACATAAAAATAATGAACACTGGATAAAATACATAAAACAACTACCTGTATGCACTGAAGAATATAAGGAGATTAACATTTAGAAGAAGGGAAGAGCAAAGGGGAAGTTTTCTATATTTTTAGATCTTTTTTTTTTTTTTTTTTTACAGCTTTTCACCAGAGGACAGACTAAATCAAGTTGGCCACAATGGAGTGTAGGAACTTTGATATAAAAACTTATATTTTACTAGCACAGAGAGTTTGAAGACAGATTGCAATGCAAATATAGATACTAGAAGTTGAGATGTGAATCTGAAAAATGAGAGGTCAAGGAAGGAGGAGTCCAAATTCTGTACATAAGCTCCGCCTCACTCTCTTAACTACCTGTGTGCAGGGGAAAAAAAAGTGAACTTACATTTGACCTTCTGTTCATTGCAGATGGCAGGGGCAGTTTCCAATTTTAGCTCTTCCAAATTAATTGCCTGCTTAAGGGAAAAAAAAAAAGAAGCTATTATTCTTTGGCAGAACACGACAGAATGTAGACGCTAAAATGCATTATTCATGGTATACAAGATACAATCACAAATTACTCAAAAATACAAGAAACTGGAAATCATAAATGATCCTCAAAAAAAAAAAAAAATCAATGAAGACCAATGCCAAATGACCCTGATGTTGACACTAGCAGATAAGAATTTTAAGGTGACCATTATAACCACGCTCAATGGGATGAGAAAAAAATGGATTTTTTGTGTGTGTGTGGTGAGTAAAACAGACAATACATCTCAGAAATGAAAACGGAACTATGAAAATGCAAATTTAAAAACTGACAGAAAATACCAGAGATTTTTTTTTTTTAAGTCATTCAGCAGACTTAATAGTAGAATGAAGATACTAGAGGAAAAAGTGAACTAGAAAAATCAATCGACAGAAATTATGTAACATTTAAAGTAAAAATAAATATTGAAAAAAATTTAATAGAGCATTGGAGACATGTGGAACAATATTAAAAGGTCAAATATATATGTAGAGTCCCAGAAAGAGAATATAGGATGTGAGATAGAAAAAAAATATTGAAGAAATAATGTCTGACAATTTTACTGATTTCTGAAACATGTAGATGTACTAATTCAATAAGATCATCAAGCCCAAAGCAAAACAAATATAAAGAAAATCATAAGTGTGATGGTCATTTCAAAGTGCTAAATACCAACGATAAAGCACATATCTTTAAACTAATCTGATAAAACTTACTTGAGTGGAAACAACTTGAATTTGGCTGACTTCTCCTCAGAAGGAATGAAGGACAGAAGACAGGAGGCAATATCCTAATGGTGCTAGGGGAAAACAAAAACAACAATAAACATTCAATCTAGCATTTTCTATCAAGAACAAATAACCTTAAAATAACAGCAAAATAAATATATTTTCAGATTAAAAATCTAAGAATGTTCACCAAAGACCGACTTGTATTATTACAAATTCTAAAAGCCTTGACCCTCACAAAGAAATGAAAGAGTATTGAAAATGGCAAGTATCTTGGTAAAATTAAGGATAATTTGTCCTCCCAATCAACTTTTTTGGCTGATTTAAAGCAAAACTTATAATCTTTTGGGGATTATATGTTCTCAATAATGTATATGACAACTGTAGTATAAAGGGTAGGGGAATTAAATGAATTATAAAATTGCAAGATTTCTACATTACAGATGAAGTACATGAATTCATGACCTGGTGGGCGTCAGACTGTCATTACTCTCTCAGGTATTCACCCAAGAGAAATGAAAGCATAAGTCCACACAAAGGCTTGTAACCTGAATGTTTGCAACAGCTTTATTTGCAGTAGCCCCCAAATGGAAACAAGTCAAATATCTATCAAAAGGTGAATCAATAAACAAATTATATCATATCCATAAAATGAAATTGAATTCAATATAGTAAGAAAGTACTCATTTGAATAGATTCAAAAGTAAAAATTCTTGTGAACAAGGCATCCAAGAAATTTTCTTAATGTAAAAAGGTCATCGTCAAAAATCCTACGGCTATAATCGTACTTAGTGATGAGATAGTGTAGGCTTTTCCTTGATGATCAGGAACAAGGCAAAGAAGCTCACTCTTAACAATTCTAATTAACATGATACTAGAGTTTGCCTAAATGTCGTAATAAGGCAAGACACAGAAATTAGAATCAGAAAGACTGAGAAGAAAAATTTAAGAAGGTCTCTATTGGTAGTTTCAACATTATTTATGTAAAATGTATAAGATTTTTATAAAATAACCACTAGAATTAATACACTAACTTATGAAGTTTATAGAATAAAAGTCTAATGAGCCAAGATTAATTTTATTTAATATATTTTAACACAGAACTTGGAAATAAAAGTGTTTAAATATTTAATTTCCAGAAGTGTCAAAAAATTAATATGTGATATTCAAGACTATACTGAAAACCTGCAAAGTTTGTGGAGAAAAATAAGGAAGATCTAAATAGCAAGATGCATCCTATTTATGAATTGAAAATCTGTGCATTGTTAATATCAATTCTCCCCACATTGATCTATACATTTAAACTTTGGTGATTATAACCATAGTAGGCTTTTTTCTTTATAAATTGACTATTTGAGTCTAATATTCATATAAAAATGCAAATGGTTTATTTCCAAAGCAGTCATGAAAAACAATAGTTTGAGGACTCCTGCTATCTGACTTTCAGACTTGTGTAAAGAAGACAGTATGTTACTTTCAAAGGATAAATAAATGTATCAATGTAACATAATAGTCTAGAAAGTACAGAATTAGTCACTCATGTGTACAGTCTTTGATTTTTAACAAAGCTTCCAAAGAAATCCAGTGGAGAGGAATGTATGTTTACCAAATGTTGCTAGAATACAAGCAGATGTCAATACAGAAAACAATGATAATTGACCACCACCTCATTTCATACACAAATATTAATTTGAGATTAATCATAGACCAAAAGATATAAGCTATAATTATTAAGTTTTTGAGAAAAAATGTCACAGGAGAGTATCTTCACACCAAGGGATACACAGATGTTTCTTTTTTCCCTCTCTTTCTTTTTTTTTTTTTTTTTTTTTGAGACGGACTCTCGCTCTGTCACCAGGCTGGAGTACAGTGGCAAAATCTTGGCTCACTGCAACCTCCGCCTTCCAGGTTCGAGCTTTTCTCCTGCCTCAGCCTCCCGAGTAGCTGGGACTATAGGTGTGTGCCATCACACTAGGCTAATTTTTGTATTTTTAGTAGTGATGGGGTTTCACCATGTTGGCAAGGATGGTCTCGATCTCTTGACCTTGTGATCCACCCACCTCAGACTACCAAAGTGCTGGGATTACAGGCGTGAAGATGTTTCTTAAACACAGAAAACAATAAGCATAAAAGAGCAAAAAAGATCAAAATCAAAATCAATAATTCCTACTCATAAAAATAGATAAGTAAGAAAAGTAAATAAGTAGCCACAAACTGGCAGAAAATATTTGCAAAATATATATTTAACAAAGAACTAATATCCAGGATATTATCCAGGATAAGTCAATAATAAAAATATAAACAGCCAAATTTAAAATGGGTAAACATCTGAACAGATATTTGATAAAGAAATATATGTGACAGGGGCAAGGTATAGTGGATGTATCACACATATCACATAAAGTATCTACCATATCAGCACTTTGGGAGGCTGAGGCAGTAGGATTCCATGAGAAAAGGAGTTTAAGGCTGCAATGAGCCATGATTATGCCACTGCCCTCGAGCATGGGCAACAGAGAGAGACCCTGTCTCTTTAAAAAAAAAAAAAAAATTATGTGTTAGGCCAGTGAATACACAAAATCCATTCAATGTAATTAGTCATCAGAGGAATGCTATTTAAAACCATGAGATATGTGCCCAAAGAAACCCTCATAACAATGTAGATAGCACCTTTATTCATTCATAAGTGACAGAAACTAGAAACATTCTAGTTATTCATCAAACACATTGTGGTATATTCATTCAACGGATAACAATAAAAAGAAATGGACATATACGCAATAACTGGGATAAATCTCAAAAACTATAGGCTGAGTGAAAGAAGTCTTTACAAGAAGTCCGTAATGAAAACTGCTATTTGAATTCTAGAAGAGGTAAAACTAATGTTCCTTCTTACTGTTTCACAATTCCCTGCATAAGGTATACACTGCCTTAGCCAGGGAATTGTGAAGTAGTAAGAAGGAATTTTTTGTGATGATGATAATGCTCTTTATCTTGATAGAGATTTTAGTTGCATATCTATGTGCATTTATCACTACTCAATGCACAGCATATTTAAAATATTTTTACATTTTATTTTATATAAATTTTATCTAAAAAATTAAAAGAACCATAAGCAAATGTATGTTCTTTTCATTATATTCATGCTGAAGTATTTGGGGGGAAATGTACCAATGCCTTGCAAATTGCTGTAAAAAAAACATAAAAAAATATTGAATTAATAAATGGATAGACGGTTGTATGGGTATATGAATGTGGTAATACAGGTACAATAAAATATTAATTAAATAACAATTAACATGTGTTAGTGTTGGGTGTATGGGCTTTCACTGTAAAATTCTTTCTTTTTTTATATTTAAAGCTAGTTATAATAAAATATAGGGAGAAAACATACATATTTGACATAGGTAATACAAACCAACCTAAGGAAAGCACACAAACAAAAAATAATCCTCCGAAAACAATGTTCTTTTGCAGGATTTGCAGGTACTGGCCTACTTACTGCCTCCACTCTCATTTCACATTCTCTCTTCAATGCTTTACATTTTTTTTCCCGTGTCATTTTATCGAAACTGCTGTCTTAAAAAAACCCTTTGCTACATGAAAGGGTTATGAATTAATATTTAAATGATTTGATATGTATACTTACTTCCTTTAGGATCCCATAATTTCACATTCATTAGGTTTATCCCCAGCTTTTTTGTTTGTTTTTCTTTGTTTTTTGAGACAGAGTCTCACTCTGTTACCAGGCTGGAGTGCACTGGCGCTATCTCAGCCCCCTGCAACCACTGCCTCCTGGGTTCAACAATTCTCCTGCCTCAGCTCTCAAGTAACTGGGACTACAGGTGCACCCCATGATGCCCAGACAATTTTTGTATTTTTAGTAGAGATGGGGTTTCACCATGTTAGCCAGGATGGTCTCGATCTTTTGACCTCATGATCTGTCTGCCTCAGCCTCCCAAAATGCTGGAATTACAGGCATAAGCCACTGTGCCTGACCCCCAACTTCTTTCATATTCATTCTTGGTCATCTCTTTGACCTTCTTTGTCTACAATTATTCCAAATAGAATGATGATTCTCAACATGCTTCTTACTTCTGCAACTGGCCTTAGGTACCTCATGCACTCACGTGCCTTTAGTGAAAGAATACACCTCAAACTAAATTTTTAGCTCATAACTCTGCAGAGAGCCCAAACTGGATTATCCAATTGCCTGTTGGATATCTACACTGAATTATTCATACACAGCTTAATCTAAAGATGTACGAAATAATTATGTTTCCAAACATGTTCCTGTATATTTCTTATATTAGTGATTAATTATAATATTTACCACACTGGCCAAAGTCTAAATTAAAAATTCACCATTATTTTTTCCTCCACATTCCCAAACACAATTACTGAGTTTGACTTTTTTTTCTGTTCCTTTTATATCTTACAGCTCTATTTTTCTCTAATACTACCATCTTTGTATTAGTCAAGCACATTTTAAGTCTTGCCTAGATATTTCAAGTCTTCTAAATAATGTTATTATTTCAGATGTTGTCTTTCTTCAGTTCAATCTCACTACTGAAGCCGTGATCATTCTGATATGGATCTCTGATTTTATTTTAATCTTGTTAAAAATTACGTAGTGCTACCTCATTGCCTTCAGGATTATACAGAGATTAAATCTTGCTTCTCAGCCTGCCATGTAAGACTTACTATTATCTTTTCTCTCTTTACATCTTGAATGCCATATCTTTATACTTACCCATTGTAATAGGCTACTAACGCCCTCCCCTTGAAAAGTTGTCCATACCCTAATTCCCAGAACCTGTGAATATATTATATTACATGGCAAAAGGGACTTTACAGATTATTAAGTTTACAAACTTTGGGATAGGGATAATATCTTCTATTATTTAGATGGGTACCACCTATTTATATGAGCTTTTCAATGCAGACACTTTACTCGTTGAAGTCGGAGAGATAAGGCTGAAAAGAAAGCAAGAGAGATGAGGTGGGAGAAGGACTTGACCCCACCTCATCTCTCTTGCTTTGAAGATTAATGGGCCTTGAGCCATGGAAT